TTCCGAGGGTGTAAATCTTTACGGGAGTAGAAAGCCTCACCTTTCTCCCGCAGAGCGGCTGGTAGTTTCAAACCGCTGACCTTAAGGTTCGCAGCCCGATTCGTAACCACTACGCTACCAGAGCTCCTTTGTTTATGGATGCAAAATTCCAACCAGAATGGAAGGATGCTTATTTCCTCGGTGTACTGGGTTGGTAAGGATGAGAAATTTAGACATTGGCTATCAAAAATGGAGGTCTATAAAGGCATAAAGTTTCTGGTTTACAAGCTTTCATGAGTGGGCTTAGTTCCAGAATAGGGGGAGGGTAAGCTTAGTGGTTTCCCTCTTTTCCAGATGGATTTGGTGAAAGGGAGTGGGGAATGACAGGGATAGGATTTTATGACTCAACTGTGAGTAACTGTTACCAGGATTAATAGTCATTGTCACCACTGTAATTGTAGATGTATAACTGAAAGGGGGGAGTAGTTAATCTTTTATTTCAGGAACAGACAATTCCAGGACCATCAAGAAGGAGGCGCATGAGTGGAGCGTGAGATCCTATCTAGGAAAGCGGCGGCAGCAGCCAGTGACAGAGGGAGGCGGTGGCATGGAGTGACAGAGCAGTTGTGGGCTCTAGGCCACGGCTGTGTGTCTTTGGGCAGGAGGCGGACTGGCAGAATGTGCCCTTTGGACATTTAAATGAATACATATATTTTTTATTTGTATGTGTACATCAAATGTTTTTGCTGTGTTCATTTGTGAAATATAAGATGAAAAGGGGGACCCACAGGGCGGAAGTAGGGGCAGTGTTGTTGCAGGGAGGGGATTGTAATCATTGAGATGAACCAAAGTGTATAATTTGTTGAATGTGAAGTTGATGATTGTCTCTGTAAACCTTTACCCAATTCACAACAAAAAGTTAAAAACAACAACAACAAATCAGCCATGAGAAACCTATGAAGCACAATTCTACTCTGACACACATGGAGTTGCCAAGTGTCAGAGCCAGCCTGATACCAGCTCATTTTAGCAGAGATCAGTTTCCCAAAAGACCCTCAATGGCCTGCGGTTCTGAGGCAATGCTCATCCCTCCTCCTGGGATGTTTCATGGGAGGCAGGGTTGGGGTTGTGGTACTTACTGCGACTGCAGAGCCATGGCCGGTCGGGTGTAGCTGTGTAATGGTAGCCAGCCCGGTCTACGCACTCAATGCTCTGGTCCCCATAGATGATCTGAAACACCTGACAGATGAGGGCACAGGACTCCTCGGCGGCATCCTGCTTGGGAGAGGGAGGAGAGAACTCAGCCCCTCACCAATGACAGGAAGCCCTCTGCTCCCTAAAACACAGTATGAGGTGTCTCAGAGGCACACATACCAACACATTCCTTGAAGTCAACTTTAAGGGCATTTCCCATCAAAATTATACAGCCACTCTCTGACTCTAGGGACCCTTTAGAAAATCCAGTGACAATTCTGGCTCCTGGGCTCTGAAAACTGCACCCCAAATATCTGGGTGATTCATGGACCATTCTGAAGTTTATCTAGCGTAGTGGTTATGAATCGGGCTGCAAACCACAAGGTCAGCAGTTTGAAACTACCAGCTGTTCCGCGGGAGAAAGATGAGGCTTTCTACTCCCGTAAAGATTTGTTGTTGTTGTTGTTGTTATGTGCTGTGGAGTCGGTTCTGACTCATAGTGACCCTGTACAGGGTTTCCAAGGCTGTAAATCTTTACGGGAGCAGAACGCCTCATCCTTCCCCCGCAGAACAGCTGGCGGTTTCGAACTGCTGACCCTGAAGTTCACAGCCCGATTCGTAACCACTACGCTACCAGAGCTTTGCAGCCTCAGAAACCCTGTACAAGGTCGCTATGAGTCGGAAGCGACTCCATGGCACATAACAACAATAAACCCTACTGAGGTTTAGAAAGTAGAAGTGATTAGAACCCAAGTCTCTTGATCCACTTGTTAAGAGCCATTGGGTCAGTTCAGGCTCATAACAACTCTGTATAGGGTTTCCAAGGAGCGGCTGGTTAACTTTGAACTACCGACCTTGTGGTTCAAATCGACCTTGCAGTGCTTAATCCCACAGCACCACACCAGGAGGCATTAAACGTGTCAGGATTTTAAGTTTATTATAATTAATGCTACTGACTGCCATACTTAGATAAGAGCTTCCTGGCACCCAGAACGACAATAGAAGCAGGCTGAACCGATAATTTCCAGTCTCTGATGGAAGGAGTTTCAGCTTTTGAGTAAAACTTTGTGAGTTCAGATTTGGAGAAGAATTTACCTCTAAAAGTCTTTAAGTTGTGTAAGAGACACAGAGAGATAACAGTTGATAAAGAGAGCATCTTTATGAAGACATTACCTATTTTGAGTCTAAAAATACCCAGAGTGTAAAGGCATTTGGGGTAATGGAGTTAACTAGTGATTAAATAGCTTTTTGTATGTGTGTGTGTGCTGTAAAATAGAAGCCTTTATTAAACACAATTATCAATGGATTTTAAAATATAGATTCACATTAGACTTTATTCTTACAATAACCCTATAAATGGGTAGGGCAGAGGATCATTATTTCATATTAAGGAAACTGAGGCAAGAGTGGTAAAATGGCTTGCCCAGGCTCAGTCACTAGGTTCAAGGCACTAGCTGATATTGACACCCAGGTTTTTTGACTTTAGCTCCTGTACCCTCCTGAGGACCACGATGCCTCAAACAGGAGACCAAGGGCTCCGACACCCCCAGAAAGTAACTCATTTATTCCACACACTCTCATTTATCCTATTGTGTGCCAGACACTGGAGTCTCAGAGATGAATGAGATAAAGCCCTCACAGAGCACACCCCATTCCCTCTGCCTGAAACTCACTTTCCCGACTCTTCACCCTGCTGACTCCTTCCTCTCCCTTCATAGTTCAGCGTATACGTCGCAACCTCACTTTCCTTTATCAAGATTAGATCCCGTCCCTTAGTCCCTATCACTGCAACCTGTTTGTTTTCTTTGGCCCTTGTCCCAAGGTATAATTATGCAGTATTCACTGATTTGCCCACTCACGCAACAGATATTTATGGTGCACCTATCATGTGCCAGGCACTGTTCTAGGTCCTGGTGGCACCCAGAATGCACAAATCTTTTGCATGCCATCAAGAGGCCCATGTGGCTGGAATGGAGCAAAAAGCAGGTAGAGATGGGGTCAGACAGGAAATGGGAGAAGATGGCTGGAGCATAGGAGCCCTGGTGGCAAAGTGGTTAAAGTGCTTGGCTGCTAACCCAAAAGAAAAGGTCAGCAGTTTGAACCCACCAGTCACTCCATAAGAGAAAGATGTGGTAGTATGCGTCTGTAAAGATTTACAGCCTTGGAAACCTTACAGATCAGTTATACTGTGTCCTACATGGTCACTATGAAGCAAAATTGACTCAGTGGAGTGGGTTTGGGGTTTTTTGGCTGGAACATGGAAGGGTAAGGGTATTAGTTTTGAGTAAGATAAGAAACTGTTGGAAGTTTTTGGGCAGTGACAAAAGGTAGTGTGTTAGCTGCTCAGCCTGTGGGGAAGCGAACTATAAGCAAGGGCTGAGCCCATGAGGAGGTGGCTGTATGATCCAGATGAAAGAGAATGGAGTCAGTGGGGAGAAGCAGATAGGCTTTGGTTATATTTTTAGAAAACAGAACCAACAAGATTTGTTGACAGAATGGGTATGAGGTGTGAGAAAGAGAAAGGAGTCAAAGGATGACGACTCAGATGTTCTGGTCATAGTAATTCCATGAACTAAGAGAAAGAGATGGAGGGAGGAGCAGGTTCAGGAAGGGAGAGCAGAGGCTCAGCTTTGAATGTATTAGGTTTAAGGTGGTCATTACTTGGGGGAGATATTGAGAAGGAACAGTCAGATAGTGGGAAGAAGGTGGAAAGCTGGAAGCCAAATGAGAAGGTGTTTCATGGAGTCATCTTCAATATCCACATTTAACCCACTGCCTTTGAGTTGATTCCAACTTATAGTCACCCTATAAGGCAGAGTAGAACTGTTCCACAGGTTTTCCAAGGCTGCACATCTTTACAAAAGCAGCCAGCCTCCTCTTCAACAGATCAGATGGTGGGTTCAAACTCCCATTCAGTTAATAGCCAAGTCTTTAATCACACAGCGCCACCAGGGCTCCTGATGTTCGAGTTCATTTGGCTTCTCCACATCTTCTTCCCTTTAGATAGGTACTGCTATAGACTGAATTGCGTAAAGCCTAACCCCTCCACTTGTGGTAGGAGCCATATCAGCTTAGGGTGTGTTTTAAGCCTTTGGGATATGAAAGGACCGATTAAATGCAGAAAAGAAAACAAGGAGAGATGGAGAAAAATAGATGCTGAGCCATGTGAAGATCACCAAGGAACTGAGGAGCAGCAGCAAAGAGACAAAGACCTCCCTCCGAGAGCTGACCCAGAGAGAAAGCCTGCTTCTAGACTCAGCGCCCTGAATTCAGACTTCCAGCCTCCTAAACTTGGAGAGAATAAATTTTTGCTCATTGTTGTTGTTAAGTACCATGGAGTCATTAAAGCCACTCAAGTGTGGTATTTCTGTTACTAGCAGCACTAGATAACTAAGGCAGGCATCCTGTCTGTTTGGTTCATCAGAGAGAGAGGCAATGGCTCTGGGTCAAAGGGAAAACTTAGTAGGCTCAGGGCTTGCAGGTGTCTCTGCTTAGGAGCTCCCCAAGGGAGATCATCAAGCAAACCTTGTTTACCTCTATATCCTCAGCACCTAGCCCAAAGAGAACGTAGCACATAGCTGACAAATAAGAGCAGCATGGATGACTGGAGGATGGAGTTGGAGAAGTTAAGAATGGCTATAAGATTTCTGCCTTGGGTGACCACCAGTTACCAAAAGGAACTTCCTGGGTGACCTTTGGATCTCAGTTCTTTTCTCTACAGAGTGGGGATCTTTGCAATATCCACCTCTAGAGATTACTGGGAGAATTAAATGAGTCCCTGTTGATTGCCTGTCTGGCATGGGTTGGTACTTGATTCGTTGTGGTGGTTAGTGTCAAGATCGTTTCTGTGGTGGGTCTAACATTGTCGACCTTAGAAAAGGAACAGGGCTGGAGAAGAAGGTTAGATTAAGTCTGTTTTGACAATTTTGAGTTTTGTAGCAGTGGGACAGCCAAGGGGAGGTGTCTGAATTTAGAAGTCGTTTGGCATGTGGGAACACACATAGCACCTGAAGTCCTGGGTGGTGGTCGAAGGAGAGAGAAGGCAAGGGGGCACACCCCAGAAACCTCGTGAATGGGGGTAGTGGCGCCTAGCCCCAAGCGCCCGAGAAGCAGGGTGCAGGGGCACAGGGCACTCTCGGACTCTCACCCTGTTGGCTACAGCCAGGATGACAAGGTTGCAGTAGGCGTCAGGGCTGGTGTCCTGAGGGTCCAGTGGGTTGGGGCCCGGGTGGCGCCGCTCCCAGCTGCCGCCACCGCCGCCGCCCGCCTGCCTCCGCTCCCAGCTGCCGCCCGGTTTGCCTGAGCCGCCGCCGCCACCGGCGTGTCGCCGCTCCCAGCTGCCGCTGAACGTCTGCCGCCGCTCCCAGCTGCCCGACGCCCGAGCTCCAGCGCGCTGGCGCTCTAGGCTACCACCGCCCCCGGCCCGGGTCTCAGCGCCTCCGCCCCCGCCCCACGCCATCCGCCAGTCCAGGCTGCAGATAGTGTGGCGCCGCTCAGTGGTGCCCACCCGCCGCTTCTCGAGCGCCGCGCCTGGCGGGCCTGGGTCTCGCCCAGTGCCACCGGGGCTGGCGTCCACGCCGGCTGGCACAGGGTCCACGCCCAGACCTAGGAGAGGCCCGTGGCTGTCAGCTGTGGGAGGTCGGGTCTAAGGGTCCCCTCCTGAGGCACCTGGCCCCACAGCCCTGGGGTCCCGCAGCCCGAGACCACAGTCCGAGCCTCCCACATCACACCTAGCTCTTGAGTGGTCCGAGTTGTCTCAGTCTGCGTGATTACTTCCGGGCCCCGCCTCCCGGCACCAGGCAGGCACCACCCCCGGTACTAGGCCCCACCCACTGCATCGGGCTCCACCTCCGGCCTCAGAACAAGGACCCTAGGCCTTGGCCTCTGGCCTGGAGTAATGTGTCCAGACAGTCCCTATCTACTTGCCCTTGTCTAAGCCCTTTTCTCAGGACTGCCTCTAGTTTTGGGTCAGCCTCTTTGCTCAGAGTGGTGTGGCCTAGCCAATCCTACCCGTTTCACCTACCTTAGACACACACTGTAACAGCCTGAGGGTGTTGTGCAGGATGCCCCCCATCTCCAAACCCTAAGGCTTGGACCCTGTCTCCTGTTTCAGGGCCCCCTCCTTGAATTTCAGTTCCTCATCCTCTTCAATCCCGCTTCTAGCTTCATGTGGTCCAGCATCCCCCTCTCACTGCCATCTTCCGCAGCTACTAGTCCGCAACTCAGCCCTTCAGCATAAGGCTCTGCCCTAGGTCAGGTTCCGCCCTCTCCCCGAGGTTCTGTCCTAACTCTGCTGTGTGGTCACCTCTGGCCCGCCCTCATCCTTAATTTTCGACCCTGCAGCAGCCTCAGAATTCCGGCTGGTCCATCCTTCCTAGGCACTGCCATCTGGACTCAGGATGGTGGGTAACCCTTCATTGTCGATCTCGGATCCCGGCTACTTGCCCCTGCTCACCGTTTATCTCAGGGGAGCGTGGTGGTCAGACCTTCAGGAACACTCCTCAAGGGGCCTCATGCCCCCTCCTGCTCTAGCTCCCATCCATTCCCTGTCCCAGGCCCTGCTGGCCCTCCCCTCCCGCTGTACCGGTTTTAAGCACCAACAGGTGCAGCGCGTCATCCTGTAGGTAGGAGGCGGCAGCGATCTCATGCGTGGGGATGCGCAGGATGAGCTCCTCGTTGTCGCGCCAGGTGAGCAACAGGCAGCGAGCCGACAGGCTCAGGATGCTGTCTTGCTCTGCGGTGGTCTTCAGAGGCAGTTCCTTCAGTTGCTGTCGGTGGGTCAGATTGCTTGAGTCCCCAGGGGGTGCGGTGGGAGAGGGACAAGGGGAAGAGGCCCGCCCATCCGGATTCCCAGAGCCTCACCCTGGCGGTGTCCAGCAGCTGCAACAGCTCGTCCCGGCTGGAGGGGTTCAATGAGGAGGTCACCCATGTGAGGTGACCCAGAAACTGCAAGAGAAACAGGGTGAGGAGGAAAGAGAGGCCACCCTGAAGCCTTGTAGGACCCTGGCATTCTCAAGGCCACAGTGTGGGGAGACAGAGAGAGGAACATCTGACTTAATAATTGTTGTTGTTAAGTGCCGTGGAGTCAGTTCCTGTATAGGATTTCTGAAGAGTGGCTGGTGAATTTAAGCACTGACCTTGTGGTCCAGTGAGTACCCTACAGCACCATACCATGATTCCTAAAGATACTTTTCATTGAACCTCTACTAGAGGCCAAGCACTCACTCTTCCTCCCTTTAAGGATGAGAATCCAGGCACAGAGAATCTAAGTAACTCCCAAGATTATACAGCCAGAAAGGATAGACCTGGTTTCCCAAGTTGTTAAGTACCACGGAGTTGGTTCCGACTCATAGCTAGCCTGCACAGGGTTTCCGAGGCCATAAATCTTTACAGGAGCAAAAAGCCTCATCTTTCTCCTGAGGAACAGCTGGTAGTTTCAAACTGCCAACCTTGGGGTTAGTAGGCCAATTCGTAACCACTACGCTACCAGAGCTCCTTAGGTTTCCCAAGTTATATTGCCTCAAAAACGTTGTTGTCACGTTGATTCCAGCTCATAGTAGTTCCAAGTGTGTCAGAGTAGAGCTGTGTTCCTTATGGTTCTCAATGGCTGCTATTTCTGAAGTAATCTCCAGGTCCTTCTTCCAAGACACCTTGGGATAGGGCTCATACAATCTATCAGCAGCCAAGCATTTGCACCACCTTTGAGTCGGTTCCAACTCATAACATCCCTGTATAGGGTTTTCAAGGCCTTTAAATCTTAGCAGGAGCAGAAAGTCTCATCTTTCTCCCAGGGAGCAACTGGTAGACTTGAACCATGGACTTGTTGTTGTTGTTGAGAGCCGTCGAGTTAATTCCGACCCATAGCGACCCTCTATAGGGTTTCCGAGGAGCAGCTGGTGAGCTTGAACCGCCAACTTTGCAGTTCAAATGGCTTTGCAGTCTGGTGCATTGTACAACGTAGGGACTCTTATATTGCCTTTATAAGCCCCAAACCCACTGCCATTGAGTTGATTCCCATTCATAGCAACCCTGTATGGTGTTTCAGGGGCTGTAGATCTTTATTGGAGGAGAAAGACTTATCTTTCTCCCATGGGGCAGCTGGTGGGGTTTAACTGCCAACCTTGAGGTAAGCAGTCCAGTGCTTATTCTACAACACTACCAGGGCTTCCTCTATATTGCCTTAAGACACAGTTATCTAATCTTGGCAGCTATGTTGGTAAGTGCTGTTGAGTGGATTCTGACTTATACTGACCCTGAATAGGATTTCTGAGAAGTAGCTGGTGGGTTTGAATAGCTGACTTTATGGTTAGCAATCCAGTGCTTTGATTTCCATAAAACAACCCCATTGTCAATAAGTTCATTCTGCCTCATAGTGACCTATAGGACAGAGTAGAACTGCCCCCATCAAGTTTCCAAGGCTGTATGTAACTTTTAAGGAGAGAGGACTGCTTGTTCTGTAGGACAATCTCTCGACTGCTCACCACAAGGTAGGTGGTTCAAGCCCCGCTACTTCATGGGAGAAAGATAAGGCTTTGTGCTCCTGCAAATATTTACAACCTTGGAAGCCTTATACAAGGTTGTTATGAGTTAGGACCAATTCAATGTGGAGTCCTGGTGTGGTGCTGTGGATTAATGTGCCAGATAGCAAAGCCATTTGAACTGTAAGGTCGGCAGTTCAAGCTCACCAGCTGCTCCTAGGAAACCCTATACAGAGTCACTATGGGTCAGAACCAACTCTACAGCACTTCACAACAACAACTGACTACAATTCACTTTCACTTTTTATGATCTTGTCCCAAAAGCCAAATAGAAAGGTGTATCAAATTAGTATAGAATGTCAGAAACAAGTTATAGCAAAAACCAATACAGTCTTTATTCTTAGGGTTAACAGATCAATGTAGTTATGATGTACATATCATTCAATATAACAATTAGCTTTTTTCTTTAGTTTTATACTTCTAGATGAAATTCTACCAAAGCTTTTCTCTTATTCTCTTTGAAATTTCAGTCCCCAATTTTTAAGTGCATTCATTTAAAATTCACTTTTCCATCTCTTATGCGGTGACTCCATAAGATAAGCACTGGATTGTGAACCACAGGTTCCAAGGTTCAAGTCTGCCAGCTGCTCTGTGGAAGTAAGATGAGGCTTTCTGCTCCCTCAAAGATGTAAAGCCTCAGAAACCCTATACAGTGTTGCTATGAGTTGGAATCAACTTGGCAACATTTAACGACAACAATAGAGGATGGCCAGATAAAACACAGGCTGCCCAGCTAAATTTGACCTTCAGATAAACAACAAATATTCTTAATATTTTTAGTTGCATGCAATATTTGAGACATATTTAAAAATCATGGCTTATCAAAATTAAAATGTCACTGGATGGCCTGTTAATTGGCTAAATCTGGCAACCTAACCCCCATCCCAATCTTCCTTGTGTAAATGATGGACGCCCCCACTGCTCCTTCATGGTATTCACAAAGTTATTAAAGTCCTTTGTGACTGGCTGAATTGGGCTCCTTTAATAAGGAGCTCTGGTAGCGTAGTGGTTACGAATCAGGCTGCGAACCTTAAGGTCAGCGGTTCGAAACTACCAGCTGCTCCGCGGGACAAAGATGAGTCTTTCTACTCCCGTAAAGATTTACACCCTCAGAAACCCTGTACAGGGTAGCTATGGGTCGGAACCGACTCAACGGCACTTAACAACAACAACAACCTGGACATCATCCAACTAACAACAACATCACTGCAGTCAAATCTCACGGGAAGACAGGATTTTTCAATGTACATCCCACTCATTCTCCCCTGGGGAATAGGGTTAGCGCCCCATGTTGAAATGGAAACACTGAGGTTAACCTGTGGCAAACACTTGCTGAGGAAGCACAACATAAGGCAGAGGCAAGACTGACTTGAGCCACACTTTTCCCTGGTCAGGGCTCTGTGAGGAAACATAAGGTTTCTCCTTAATCAAAATTGATCACCCCATCCCAAACTCACCTTGACCTCTTTTTCCAGGTAGTCACACAGCAGAATCTGGGGGTCAATGAGATAGTCCGGGGGATACAGGGACATTGAATGCAGTGGCCGGCGGCTCACACTGCTCCGATTGGCTACCCGGCGGGCGGCCTTGGGGAATACCAGCCTGCGGATGGGAGCCACAAAGCCCTGAGAAAAACAGAGAAAGTAACAGTTATGATTGCAATGAACTCTAATGAGCATCAACTTGTTACATTTATGTCCTAATTCTCACAAAGAATTCTTCAGGAGAGGTGTCTCTGATCCCTGTTTTACAGATAGGGGAATGAAGACTTAGAAAGGAGTTTACCAAAGGCTGAACATTTAGGTAAGGGTATAGTCCCTGCCAAGTCCTAGGCCTTGGTTTACGGCAGGGGTGGGGAACCTTTTTTCTGCCAAGGGCCATTGGATATTTATAACATCATTCATTGGTCATGCAAAATTATCAACTTAAAACTTAGCCTGCTGTATTTGGCCAAACATTTAATTAACTCAATGGCACTTAACAATGACAACAATGTGATAGCTGGAATTGTGGTTACTGTGGCAGGGCCAGACCAAATGATTTCACGGTCTTAGATGGCCCGCAGGCTGGATGTTCCCCATCCCTGGTTTAAGGGATGGGCTTGGACCAAAAATATTAGGGTTCCATGTGACTAGATAGATGCTAGGGGCCTAGGTATTTGTTAGGTGTTCTCTCTACTTTCTTAAAAGTTCATTTAACCCCTTGGACATTTAAATGGATATATGTTTTTTGTTTTGTACCTGTGCATCAGATAGTTTTGCTTTGTTCGTTTGTGAAATGTAAGATGTAGATAGGGAACCACAGGGAGAACTGTAGGATCACTGTGGCTGCAGGGAGGGTATTGTAATCACTGAGATGAAACAAAGTTTGTAACTATTGAATTTAAAGCTGATGATCTTGTCTATAAACTTTCATTCAATTCACAATAAGAAGTTAAAAAAAAAAAAGAAAGTTAATTTAAGTAGAACCCAAGGGACACTTGAGTAAAATGACTTGGCATTAGATTGAAAGTGCACATTGCAGGCCCCCAAGCCTGGCTGACTAAACCTCAAAGGCCCATGAATGTTTGAGCACTCCTCTAGAAACTACCAGACGTTCTGCAGGAAAAAGATGAGGTTTTCTGCTTTTTTGTAAAGATTTACCGCCTCGGAAACCCTATACAAGGTCATTGAGTTGGAATTGACTTCATGAAACACTCCCCAACACCCTCACCACCCCCTAGGGCAGTAGTTCTCCAATGTGGTTCCTGAGTCAGCAGAAGCATCTGGAAACTGAAAAGAAATGCAAATTCTCCAAGTGCTGCTGGTGGTGTTGGTGGTGTATAGTTATTACAACTCATAGCAACCCTGTGGGACAGAGCAGTACTGTCCCATAGGATTTTCTGGCTCAAGTGGTCAGCAGTTAGAACCCACCAGACGCTCTATGGGAGAAAGATGCGGCATTCTGTTTCTGTAAAGATTTACAGCTGTGGAAACCCTGTATTCTGCTCTGTCCTATGGGGTCGTTCTGAGTCTGAATTGGCTCAGTGACAATGAGTTTTAGAATCTTTATGGGAGATCACCAGCTTTTTATCTCCTGCTGAGCCACTGAGTGGTTTACCCCAGCCCTGACAACTGAAATCAGAAATTCTGAGAACTGGACGCAGCAATCAATGTTCAACATGTCCACCAGGTGATTCTGAAGCCCACTCAAGTGTGAGAACCACACTTCATCACTAGTGCTCTGGGTTGTACTTGTACCAGGAGAGCTACCTCATCCTCTCCCATCCCAGACCAATTAAATCAGAATCTCTGGGGTTGAGGCCCAGTCACCAGGATTTTTTAAGTCTCCTCAGGTGAGTTCATCGGGGAGGTCAGGTGGAGACTATTGAACAATGTGTATTGTGAGTATGATTAGCTAACTCCTGCACCAAAACAAGTTGCAACACAGTGAACAAGATAATAGGTCTGCCTTCAAGGAGTTCACATTCTTGTGCAAACAAATAGACAATAAACTAGTCTACAAACATGTGTATTCATTCATTCAGTACACATTCACCGATACTTGTGAGCAGGCCTGTGTTGGGTGCTGGGGATTTAGTGGAGAGCTGGACTCCAGGGCTCAGAGTGGGAACCTTGAGCTAAATGACCCAAACAAGTGAGTCTCACACTTAATTATATGCACATGAGTTCTGGGTGGGGCCTCGGACTCTGCAGATCTAACAAGCTCCCAGCTTATGTGAATGTTGCTGAGGCTACTCTGAGTAGCTATGAATGAAACCACCAGTTCTCCGAGTGTGATTTCACCAATAGTAGCAGCAGTATGACTTAGCAACTTGTCAGAAATGAAAGTTCTTGGCCTGATCCCATACCTACTGGATCAGAAACTCTGGGATGGGGACCCACAATCTATATTTTAATAAGCCCTCCAAGTGATTCTGATGCTCATATTTTAAGAACCAACATAATAGAGCCTGGATGGGAACTGTGGAAGCTCAGAAAAATGAGAGACAAACTCCCTGGGAAGGGGCATTCCATGCGGAGAACCCAGTACGTACAAAATCCTGGGGCTGAAGTGAAACAATTAAACAGAAATAATGAGAGTGCTGACACGTGTGAAAAATGTAACCAACATCACTGGACATTATTTCTAGAAACAATGGAATGGAAACAATGGAACGGAATGGGAAAACACAAAACAAAATGTATTAAGTGGTTAAGATAAAAATACTGGGGACACCAAAGCCTAGAAGAGGGTCTCTGGGTATGCAGAGAGACAGTTAATGTGCTCAGATGCTAACCAAAAAGCTGACAGTCCAAACCCATTCAGCAGCACCTTGGGAGAAAATCTCCCCCGAAATCAATCATTGAAAATCGTGTGAAGCACAGATCTACTCTGTAACACACAGGGTTGCCATGAGTTGGCATTGACACACAGCAACTGGCTTGTGCTTTGGGTTTTCAATGGGCAGCGAGGATGGCTCTAGAGAAGTCTTGCGCTGCCTATTGTAGCTGCTTGATAAGATGAACAACTCATGGAGCCCTTGAATGGGGACTGTGACTTTATCCTGTGTATGTGAGTGTGATGTGGTGTCGTAGGATAAGCATTCAACCTCAAGATTAGTTTGAATCGCAAGGTCTATGGTTCAAACTC